TCTCTAGCCGGGGCAGCTGAGCCCAGGAGTTGATGCTCAGACTGAATCGGACCCAAGTCCAGAGGACTTTGCCGGTGGGTTTTGTCCACACTACTCCCAGCTCGAAACCCTTCCCTGTTACTGAAACCAGCAAATGTTTGCTACCAGATGCTGGGAGGTCTGCTGCTGAACCACCCAGGGCACCTTTTCAGCACTAAGACCCTTGCAAAGCAAATAGGGAAGAAGCCCCAGTAAGCACAAGCCCTGTATCCAGCAGGTGAGTTTCCCCGACAGCTTCCTCAGTCCTGGAACGAGGGTTTCGGCGCTGGGGGCCCCTGCCTGCCCAGCATGAGAGGTGCTCAGCACAGACTTGCTGGATGAATGGGTGAGATGTGCCCTATTTTTATTCTTACGCCCAGCTGCCCGCGGGACACCACCCGCGGGGATGACCAACTGGAATCTCAAGTCCAAAACCAGGCTCCGGATTTCTTCTGCCTTCACCGTCGAGGCCGTGGCATCACCTGTCGCCTTACTCCTCGAGCCCATAAACATTTTTAAATAATTGCATAACAGAGTCGCCGTTGACGGTTCTCTTTCTCTCACCCAACACCCAGACCTCCCTCAGCACCTGCCTCCAGACTACATGTGGCCTGTGGCCCCTGCGTGCCCGCTACACCGATGTCCCTGCCCCTCCTGCAGCCCCGGGGTTCCCAGCCCGGGAATGGTCTCTCAGCAGACAGGTTGCAGTGTCTGGAGATGTGTTTGGCCTCCGGAACTGGGAGGAGTGCCACTGACCTCCAGTGGGTTAAGGACAGGCATGCTGTAAGCCCTCCCACAAAGCCCGCAAGGGTCCCCATGACAGAAAAGTGTCAGTAGCATCGGGGCCCCAACGCCTGCTCCAGTTCAACTTTCAGGGCCCACTCAGAGCTCCGAGTGGCCATGACCTTCGTTTCCTTCGGGTCCCCGCTGTCCCCTGGCCCCAGAGGGCCTGCCCTGGGTGTCTTCACAGCTCCTAGCATTCCCTGGTGCTCTGTGTCCTTTTGTTCATGACCATCCCTCCACTAGAACGCAAAATATCC